ACGATGGGGGAGGCGATTGGGGCCGCGTCGGGGTGGTGGTCGGCGTCACCTTGGAGGCAACGCGCCAGTAATCATCGAAATTATCTGCAAGAGACGATGAGCACCCTGTGTCAGATGTGCTGACACGGACGGGCCTTGCGGGCGAGATTGTGACTCGCAGAGCAAGGAGAACGTGCCGTAACGTATCCAGAGACGCAGATAGACACTCACGGTCCTTCACGCCTTCCCATATTCCATCTTGCTCCGCCTTCCGCAGTCCAGTCATACGCTTCGTGTTTCCCCAGCGCATGAAATCGGCCTCCTTGAGCTGGCCCATGAATGCCTGTTTGCACGCCTCCGCACTGGGTGCCAGAAGAAGCTTCTCTGTCGGCGGCGACGCGAGATGCAGGATTAATCGCAAAGGCACTGGTTGCGTCGCAGGGGTCGGCGGTGCACGGATAGATGTTGATATTGTATGGTTATCATAGATGAGACCAATCGGCCAATGCCTAAATCGCATGTTAAGCACTCTGTATTCTGTGTGCGTAAGATGGCACGACGTACCATTTCATCAACGTGCCCTCCTCACTCTCAAACCACCAGTCTTCCTCCTTGAGCACCTTGCCTGCCGCGTCATCGAACACGACGTCCATGAGATACTGTTTGATCTCCGGCATCAGCAATGGCAGGTAGCTGACCCGTGGTGCTTGGATGAAGTAGCACTCGAGCCCGCGATCAGAATTCGCAGGCAATTCCTTTGGATCGACGCGAATTTCGAGGGGGACGGTGCCCTCCCATATTAAGCGTCTGAAAAGTGTGGTAGACGCGGGGGTGGCAAAGGTTGCCGTCGAGTGGCCGTGGTGTCTCGTCGTACCGTAAGTTGACATTGTTCAGGAGAAAGTTAGGACAGCTACCAGTGTGTGCAAAGCGCGGTATAAACCTATAATCTCTAGCGCCGTAGCGCGTGTATGACTAGCCGGAAAATTGCCATACCGGGAACAATGCCCCGGTACCCCAGGTTTACGGTGAATTCCACAGGATCGTTATAACACAGTTCAGATAGGGATGTTAGTATGTACGGTAAGGTACTTGATACATCTACGGCCGCCGAGCAGCGATGCGGAGCTGGAAGAGCGTTTGGCGTGCTAGGTACTTCACAGGAAAGAACTTTGCGACTCCGAGTCGGAGAGAACAATGATTGGCAAGGATGTCGCCGTCGCATACATAAATCAGCGGCTTGCGTCTGCCTGCGTGGGCTTAATAACCAAGAGCATGCTGCATGAATTGTTCAGCTAAGTAAAGTGCGAGCTGGGAGGCAAGATAAACGTACTATCACAAGACGGTCCTGCCGTCATACGGTACGCGTATACTTCCAGCATCTGTTCTCCTTGTCGTACCACTTGTGAAAGATTTCGATGACGAGGCCATCTTTCCTGAGTTGGTCGAACGGCGCCAAGTCGCATTCAGACACAGCGATGCGCTGTGCGCAGATCAATTCGACGCGCTTGATAGGCGTGATCGACTGGCCTGATGCGCCAGAGCCAGGCTCCAAGTCCCGTCTGGACGCGACCACATCGCATAACTCATCGAGAAATTGTGGCGCCCATTTCCTCGAAAACTCGAGCACGAGAGTCTGCAGCCGGGGCACCAGACACCCCGCCCCGCCGCCGCCTCGCAGGCACGCCAGAACGCCACCACCGGTGACAAGATCCGCGCACAGCTGCAACCGCGCCAGCCCAGGCGTGTGCTGCAAACAGCGAACGAGGTCCTCCGCCGAGATCCTGACATCGTCCAGCTGGAGCTCCTCGAGGCTGCACCCCGAGCGGCGGACGAACGCGATGAACTGCGCCGTGGAGAACGGGAGGGGGCTGGGCCCGGCGCCGGAGGTGGTGGACGTGTTCGTGACGGTGCAGGCGCGCAGGCTCGGCAGGCTCATGAGGTTGAACATACTGCCCAAGAAGCCGGGGGACTGGGTGCGCAGCGCGAGGGAGTGGAGACCGACATGCTCCACGGAGGTGGGGCTGGGATGGTTGAGCCAGCGGTTGCCGACGTCGACGGCCTCGTAGGCTAGGAGGTTCGGCGAGCGCCGGAGGACCTCGTACCAGTCGTCGAGATATGACAGGCGGGCAGTGACTCTGGTCAATTGATGCCATGGAAGGACCAGGGCGGAGAGGCGGAATGCGATACCGATGGTGACGTGCTGTAATTGGGGGCAATGCTCGAAAATACCCAGTGACTTGGGCGCGGGCTCCGACTCCCCGACCCAGGCGAATTCCAAATGCAGTCGTTGGATGTTCGGGAAGCTCGTCTGCGGCAACGCGAGGGAACGGATGTTGGCGGTGGACAGGGAGAGCTCGAGCTCGCGCAGCCTAGGCGCGCAAAAGGCGAGTGACTCCATGAGGGCTTTGCTGTCACGAGTCCGAGATACCAGTTTTAGCTGGAGCGGCAAACTCTGCGCACGAGCAATCCAGTCGCGGTATGGAGGTGTGAATGGGTTGTCGCGGATGTGGAATGAGGCGGACGACCATAGGAAAGGGGTGGATAGCGACACCGAGCGCCAGAGGCGGCAGACGCGTCCGAGAAGTAGTGGACAGCGGTCGGCGTTGGGACGTCTGTCCTCGGGAAGACAATGCGTGAAGACCTCGGAAAGTAGCTCAGGAGGAAATCTGCGCATTGGGCTGAGGAGGGCCTCGTGGTTTTTGATATTTTCCTCTACCGCGCGACGTTCGCGTGCAAGTGCGTCAACAAGCGCTTGGACACGGAACATCTCCTGCTCGATGTTTGCAAGACGTGACGTCTCCTCGCTGACGAAGTGCGCGACATCTGCTATTTTTGACAAAGGCGGAGGATTGTTCGTTTCGAGGAGAGCGGGGACTGGAGAGTCGCGAGGCAGTTTGGGTAAGCCGACGAATGGGGCGTCACAGTTTGTGCACAGATGGGAATTGGACGTCATGGTCTGGAATTGCGCGTCGATGTCAGCATACTGTATAAGAGGATAGGCACGAAATAGCAAACACACTGTTCAGCGAAAAGCTGGAAGCTATCGTTATATATGTGGTCCGCAGTGGAGATGGTCAGAAATATGCAGAGCGTCAGCCTGCTGGTATCGACCTAGCGACCTTTGTTCAACCTCAGTCCACAGGCACGATGCAGAGGTTATCGAAACGTGTGCGGCCCGTTCTCCCTCACCCTGTCCATGCCCTTGAAGCGCTTATAAGTAGTACTTGGCACCTGCAGGACCAGAAACTGCTCGCCGGTTGCTCGCCGATACTGGCGGATGATGATGCGGGGGAGCATTTATGTACGCTACGCAGCATAGCCTGGCGCCGGCAGTCGCAAGATGTTTCGGGACGTCGCGTCAGAGCGTCCGTCGGCAACGTATGTATGAGCTCGAGTGTCGACTTCGCGATTCGGCTGCTTCCCTAGTATGAGCTATAGACGGTCAGCAAAACGTCTGCGGAGGACTTTTAGGACGAAATGTACGCGCCCACACTGTACAGCAGCATGAAAGTACACGGGACCAGGTCAGTCGACCAACTTACATACTGAAGCTAGCGTCCTTGCCTGCTCCGACCTGCTCTGCTCAATACATGATGATCAGCCACTGATCGTCGCGGAGTCACTCCTCCCTCCTCCCTCCAAAATTCAAATTGCCGCCCAACTGCTTCCAGTGTTTCACCTGCAATCTGCGTATGTTATAGACGTCTTTTGAGAAGGAGATTCCACAGCAGCGTGGCGCAGTGGAAGCGCGCGGGGCTCATAACCCCGAGGTCCCTCGATCGAGACGAGGCGCTGCTAGAATCTTTTTGCACTTTGTTTTGCCCTTCTCGTTGTCTTTAATCTTTAACTTTCTCGCCTTGACAGACCAAGAGATGTGGTACGCATTCATGCGTTTTGCCGAGCACAAGCAGGTAGACAAGAATCCCGACGACGCGAGAAAGAAAAAACTTGACGGAGAAAACCCGTTCGTTTTTTTTTGCGCCACAACACGGTAACGTGACAATAAACAGACGCGTTATCCCGATGGTCGATGACTCGATAAACAAAAAGAGAAAAAAATCAGATCTACTTAGCAGCGCCTCGTCTCGATCGAGGGACCTCGGGGTTATGGGCCCCGCGCGCTTCCACTGCGCCACGCTGCTGTGGAAGACCGGCTCGAAAAAGTGTAGGACAAAGGCAAATTCTTTAGCGCGGAAGATCTCATGGGGTAGGACGGGCAAGGCAGTGGTCATGAACTTCGTGCATTTTGAACAGAAAGGACAGTGGGCAACGGACAATGATTGTCGCGTTGAATTACGCAAACCAGCCTCGACTACGACAGGCACAGAACGACAACGCGGGACGAATGGAGAAAACGTGCAAGAAGAGAAAAAAGTCAAGGCGGAAAGGCGGAAAGGCGACACGCGTAAAAATGCTAATCAACCTCGATCATGAAGGTAGGTAACGACCCTAGTTCTCCGCAGTGCCGTCCGAGTTGAACGCGAACTCGAGGATGGCGGGGCCAGCGACGATGTTCGCGTCGGTCGCTTGCGTGTTGTTGGTGGACACGACCGCGTAGACGGTGCCGACGAGGTCAGTGGGGATGGTGACCGACCCGTCCTTGGCGAGCGGCGCGACCTGCTG